TATCGTATCGAAAACAAAATAAGTGGTATCGCCCATCCCTAATAAAGAGGTAATTTCACTCAGCAAACAGGACCTCCCCTAACTAGCAAGTTTCTCTGTTGGCGAGAAAAGCAAGTCTGCCATTGTACAACAGTCATGTCATGACAACAGACTCACTTTACAAATGAATGTTTTCTGATGTGGATTTCACACACAGCTAGTGTATTCCCAGCATTGTCACCAACCAGGTGACTCACAGATTCATCTTAATAGTGAAGGAACAGATCACCATTACTCATTAAGAAATCAAAACCGATGAAAGTTCTTTCAGTTAGCGCAATATAGAATAGAATGCAAAATGTCATTAATCAAAGGAGGAATTAATTAGCTAGTGGTGATTAAAGTGATGCATTTAATATGATCATGATTATAACTACAAATTGTATTACTGTAAGCACACCACAACTAGTAAGTGATAGTTATTGATTAATCTCATATTACAATTAAACATAGGACTGAATGCAACCCAGGAAGATTAGGTTTAAACGTAGGCCTACTAAATAGCGCAAATAATGTGAAAATATATTTGAAAGGTTTTAAAAAGCAGTATGCACTTCATAAAATGTGGAGAGAAAATGAAAATATATTTTAAAGCATTTAAAAAGTATAATAATCTGCCAAAGTGCTGTTTGTCACCTACCTTACCTCAAGTATCCTTAGGTCAAGTAGCCTGACTTTGTTGTTATATTATCATTCATTTTCATACATATTCCTTTATACCTGATGAGCTAAACTAGTCCAGTTTGATGCAATAAGAATACAAATGTCGTGTTAAATACTATATGAATTGAACTCTGTTATTTTAATCGCATTAACAGTAGAACAGCAAATGTAGATAGGCCTAATAGTGTAAACAATATCCAGCTCGCCTTCCAGTACGTGTGTTTACACCGCGCGCTTATCGCACGTGCTAGAACTTTTCAAATTCAAACAGGCGCCAGCAGAGGGAGTTCGCGACGCTCAACGGTTCACCAGCAGGTAAGACATTAACACTTTCAGTTTAGCAATCTTCGCACTTTCTCATATATTTATTACACATATAAAGCTGTAAATATCTGTATAACACTGTTGTACATTCCAGAGAATCACTTTAACACCGTATGAGGATTTAATGTCCGTGTGGTCGCTTAAAATAATTCGCCTCAGTTAGCCTTGCGTTAGCGCTGCAAGCGCGGCCTACTACAGCCTCGGGTTTTCCTGATAAGCCGCAGCGGGAAATAGACACCCGGGGAGTGCGCGCGTTTGTG